GTGCACACGTGTGTGTGTGTGTGTGTGTGTGTGTGTGTGTGTGTGTGTGTGTGTGTGTGTGTGTGTGTGTGTGTGTGTGTCCGCACGTGTGCGTGCGTGCGTGCAGGGGTACTGCGTCGCAGCAGTGTGATTGTGTGACGCTCTGTGCCTGCCTTCAGATTTCAAGGTGGTGCCTGCCAGCGTTGCCCCCCTGATCCATCACGCGTCACGGCTCGTCCCCCTGCACCACGCCCTCTTGGGACCGAGCCTCTGCTGACTCTCCTGCCAGTGTCTGCCTTATGCATAATCAAAACACTGTTTCACATGGTGTTCCAATAACATTTTGTGATCGTCTTCCCAGAGCGAAATTGTTGCAACGCAGCCCAAATCCAATTGAACAACCTCAGACATTCTGGCCCTGTATTGATTTCAACGGCAATTACTGCAGCTGACACGATCCCCGAGCCCTTCGCCACCAGGGGCGAGTGTACCGCCGCGCACTGCAGCAGAGCTGAGGCCCGCACTCGCCGCACGCGTGCACGGGAGCGCCCCCCTGCCCCATCAGACAGGGCCGTCTCTCAAGTAGACCCCCAGCACCACCCGCGCTGCCCGCAGCAGCCGCTTGCGCTCCACCCGATACCGCACGGCCGCGATCAGCCGGGCGTCAAACTGTTGCTCCCCCTGCTGCTCCTGGTCCTGCTGCTGCTGCTGCTGCTGCTGCTGCTGCTGCTGCTGCTGCTGCTGCTGCTGCTGAAGCAGTTGCCTGAGCGTCTCCTCATCCTGCTGCAGGCTCGTGGCGGCAGCGTCAATCTCCCCGTCGACCTGCGACAGCAGCGCTGCCGCCAGCCGCCGCTGCGCCTCGTTGCCGCCGGCCGCCGCCGCGCCGCCGCCGTCGGCGGGGGCCAGCGGTAGTGATTTCAGGGCTGCAAAGAGGTAGGGGTTTTTGCCCTGGGCGGCGTCCATGAGTAACCCGCTGCCGAGCGCGTCCTCTGCCCGATCCAAAGAGAGGGTGGCCCTGTTTCAGGATTTATGCATTGTTCGATGTGAGGCGTTGTCAGTGGCATGCAATTGTGTGTGCATGAGCACGTGCACGTGTAGAAGTGCGGACGAGCAGAATCACTTAGCGTGACTGTACACACGCGCACACACTCTCTTACACACACACACACACACACACACACACACACACACACACACAGCGCAATTCCAGTCGACGCCCGCTTTTGCAGCCTCCCCCAACCCCCACCCTTTTTGAAACAACTTCACCCGCAATCACCACCCACCCCTCTGGGACCTCCAGCGCGAGCCTGTCCGCCATGTTCCCGCCATGGGGCACGAAGCCGTACTGCGCCATCAGGCGCTGGTTGGTGTAACCCGCCGGGCCGCTGTACGAGATGGTGACCTGGGCGGCAGACGGGCGGCGGGACGATGGGGCAGAAGCTTTGATGGGTGTGCGTGAGGTCCCTGGGAGAGGGCGGCGGGGCTGCAAGGCCAGCCCTCGCCCACGCGCTCGCAAAGCATGTGCATGCACCCATGCATGCACAGGCGTGCTGACTCAGCGTGCGTGACTCCCACCTCTTCCCCGGCCTTGATGTCCTTCACTGCCACAAGGTAGAAGAAATCCTGCCCGCTGCTGCTGCTGCTGCTGCTACTGCTGCTGCTATCGCTACTGCTGCTGCTGCCGTTGCTGCTCGGCAGCGCCGCCAGGAAGTCCGCGTTGGGGTCAAACGCGTGGTTGGCTGCGCGGCAGTGGGGTGGAGGGGAGGGCGCAAAGCGGCGCGTCAGCGGCGGCGTCAGCGCCAGCTGTACCAGCAAAGGAGTCGAAGGAGGGAGGGGGTGATGATGATGCAGCGCCCTTGAAGGGCCGGCTTGGTGCGCACGGCAGCGAGCATCGGCGCGGCCACGCTGCGCGGCCCCGATGCCACCGCTCCCTGGGCGCGGTATGCGGGGGCCGCCGTTTGGGGCCTGCGCCGCCACTTCTGTGCCAACGCCGCACCGGGGCCCCGCACGGCCACGCACGACCCTGAGCCGCTCCCCATCCAACGGGTCGCTGAGCCAGCCCGCCCGGGGGCCGTTCAACCCCGCGCCGGCGGGCCGCCGAGCAGCGCGTGCGGCTCACCCATATCCAAGAAAGGTATAGAGGCCCACGCCTCCCCGCCCACCCCGAACGCCCGGCTGCGGACGCAGGCGAACCCCCACTGCAGCCAGCTCGGCGCGCCGGGCGCCGCGGGGGCGGCCATTCCTGGGAACAGCCCAGCCAGGCGCTCCTGGATTGGATTGGATGCGAGAGAGGGGACCAAGGATTCAGCAGTGCGCCGCACTCCTCTGCTTTGAACAACATCATGAGCCACAAAACGCTACATATCCCTGCACCTCAAAATGAGCCTGGCATTAACACGAGATCATGAGATGATCAAACTCAAAACGCTGTCGACATTTGCAGAAATCCCGCCCCTCAAGATGTGCCGCCGAGGGCAGCGCCCGCGCCCCCCGGGGCCGCCTGCGCCGGTGCCGCACCTGCTGCGCCCTCGCGGCCGCCTCTATCGCCGGGTGCTGCAGCTCAGACCGCAAATCCGCGCCCCAGCACAGCGGCAGGGTGAGCTCCTCGGGTGCGGGCAGCAGCGCGGCCGCGTAGCTTCCCCACAGCTCCCCGCCGTCGCCGGCGGCGGCGTCCAGCAGGGCGAGGGCCTGCAGCAGGTCCCTGGGGTGAGCCATGTGTGTGTGTGTGTGTGTGTGTGTGTGTGTGTGTGTGTGCTTGCGCGCGCGCACGCGTGCATGTGAGCGTGCGTGCGTGCTTGCGTGCATGTGTGCGTGTGTGGAGAGAGGCGGGGATGGGGGAAAGGAGGGGGGTGGGTA